GAATGAGTAGTTTTGTTTTCCTGTAATGCTTTCAAATGCATGAAAGATTTTACCAAAACTATGAAAACAAGGCCTTGAGACTACCAGAGGGGAAATGATAGTCAGATGCAATGAAAACATGTGGGTGGAAACATGTGGGTGAAACATGTGGGTGAAATCACTGGAATCGGTAAAGATAACGAATTAAATGGTCTAAAGTGCGCTTAGATATAAGGAATATATAATGTAATACATGCATATACAGGTATCTAAAATGGACGAGAAAAAATTATATTTACACTGTCTTACAATGGGTTACCTTTAAAAGCTTAGCAAGTCTAGACCAACTCTCGTTTATCGACTAACCTTATTTTTTTTCTTTCTTCTAAAGAATGAATTGTAATCTAAATTTAAATATCCGTCTTAACACCCATGTAAGGCGTCTGGAAATTCGTCTTAATCTAGATGTGAGTGTTACAATGAGAAGCAGGGGTATAATTGCACGTGTAATGTTCTCTCATTATGATAATCAGAGGAAGCATTCATGATCTTGTCTCTCTACGGGTTATCATGATGAAGCTATTCAACAGACAGTGGCATAGCATGGATCCAGTCATTTATGAGGGCACTGCAGGGTGGGGTGGGGTGCACCGGTCCGTAGACGGAGGCTGTGGGAGGGGGTGGGCCTATTATTTAATTTTCTCGCCCTTATCCGGCATGTCTCCCTCCCCCCTCCCCTCTATAAATGAAAGGCACGTTTAATATAAAGCTCTACTTTATAATATAAACAAGCAGAAAATATGACTCTTTTCGATATTTAAGGTACATGATCACTTTACCCTTTTGTCTCTATTTTATCAATTCCCCCCCCCCCCCTCTAAATATTTACCTTGTATATTATGTCGGGTTGTGAAGCATCATTATCACATGCATATTTTTAAAGTTAGTTCCTATCAGGTTCGGGGTAACTTTGATGCTTTTAAACGATGTAGATACTTAGCTTGAAGTTTTTGTTTCACGTAAGGCAATCCAAAATAATACAAAGTCGGTAACAAGATGGCCCCAAACTATAATCTTATAATACACTGTTGGTCATAAAGGTGGAATTTTTTTTTTACCCCAATTTATGGAATGATTTCGACAATGATTTATTCCTAATATATCGAGATAATAGTATACATTCTCAGATTTGTTTAAATAATAATTTGCAAGTGTTTGTTTGCGTGACTGCTAAAGCATGTGTGGGCTACTATGATTATCAACTAGGGGACCCACGTCCTTATGTCATAACTGACAGTAATGAGGATTAGTGCCTCACAAAAGGGCCTAAACTTGGAAAGGGACGTGCATGGGTTAGAGACTATGAAAAGAAAGGTTTCGATCGGGTATGGATGAGAGACTAGATCAAGTCACAAATCATCCATGTATTTGGTCCGACGCGGAAGTGAGGGAACGTTCCGTTGATAGACATGTTTATAATCGTAAACAGACATGACATATCATATCTTGAAAGTTATTGTCAATCAAAACCATATTCTTCAAGTTATCAAAGGAGATATAAGACGATTTGACGATTTATTGTCGAGCGGTCTTGTTACTGACAAGGACGTTAAAAGGAAAAACTTATGAGAATAAAAGATTTAACGATTTGTTATTTCATAAATGTTATGAGAGAGGGGGAGATAGAGAAAGAGGGGGAGAGAGGGGAGGAGGGGATGGGGGAAGAGGAAGTGGGGGAGATAAAGAGGGGAAGAGAAGGAAAGAGAAAGAGAGAGTGAGTGGGTGAAGTGAGGTGAACAAAAACAGGGTAAAAAGTTTTGGCGAGTTAAAGAGGGAACATGAAAGTGTGAATGAGAGAGAGGGACAGGGAGACATACCGACAGACGGGTAGACATGGGAAGGAGGAGGGGGCACGTGCGTCGGGGTAAAGGCAAGTGAGAGGGGGCACTAGAACGCAAAGAGAAAAAGAGAAATGAGAAAAAAAGAAGTAAAATTATGATTGTTTTGAGGATTATAATAATGATGTCCCGCGAATAGACTAGATATGCTTTTTATCAGTATAAGATTTTTTTTTTCGTTATTATAAAATATGGGGTTTAAAGGAATAAAACTCATTTTCAGCATACCTACATATATTCGCTGGGATGAGGTTCCTTTAAGTTTGTGAATTATTGAGCGCTGCGTATTGATTGCTCGCAAGGTAGTATTAAGAACGATTATTGGCAATGACTTAAGCAGGGCTCCCACTTAGCCGAGTTGGAACCTCGAGTTGTGGCGAGCTGGCGCGATCTTATGGCAAGCCGTTTTATTATTAATTGATATCAATAAATCAATTCTTGTTATCAAGAAATAATTTTATGTTGTAAAGCAATGGTAATTCTTGATATCAAGATTTCGATTTCGTGATATCAGGAATTCGATTTCGTGATATCAAGAATTGAATTCTTGATATCAAGAAATATGTTTTAATGATAAAACTGCTTGCCATAAGATCGCGCCAGCTCGCCACAACTCGAGGCCCTGCTTTACATCAGAAAAACATGATTGCTGCGAGTAAGGACGTACAACACCTGGGCCCCGTCTTATAAAGAGTTGATATCAATCGCAACTTATGTACGATTCATATCAATCGCAACTATGTACATAAGAGATAGGACACTGCAAACTTGAGATTTAGTGGAGGACTTGCGATTGGTTGGGATCAATCGCAACTCTTTATAAGACAGGGCCCTGGAGTTACATGTTCAACGCCACCGCTACAACAAGCATGTTGAGAATAATGAGGTGAGAATAATCACAATCAAAAGCTCTCTATTGTACAACGAAGAGACATGAAAGGTGATGCATATTCTGTCATGATGATAATAAGTTTTCGCGGACCCAAATATTTACAGAAAAAATGCCCCAAGTTGATATTAATATAGATGTACCTACTGTTGTACTTATATCTGGAGATGTGTGAGCAGGCGCGCGCGCACTTCACTGATATATTATTGTTTAGATGTTTCTTCCAGGGGACCTAGAGACAAATCATTCCGTTAACCTATTATTACTCAGTGAGCTACAATACTCTCGTCTGCGCACATTACTTGGTGCTATGTCGGGCAAGCTTCCGGGTTGTCAAGAACAACATTTGCTTTAAAAGTTCGCATACAATTTGAAAATGTTAGTCTATTGAGAACGGTCCATGCAGTGGACTAGGGATAAATTTAAACGACCTTTGTCAAATCAGAACAGACTCTGCACCTGTCGATGCAGGTGTATGGAATAAGAATGTCATTCTTCCGTCTGCATGTATGTAAGACAATTAGATTAAAGCCGATTCCTTGCCAAGAACCTAAAGGTTAAGGCCAAACATCCTCTTAAAGACCACATGAACATGAACGATTGGGGATGCTATAGGATTTTGTTGGTAATACTATTTTTCAAAAATCCAGTTGTTCATACATAATATAGAATAAAAAAAAACTTAAATGAAGATTTATTTATATATTTTCTTTAAAAATGAAGGTCTATTGTCGAAACTCTTAAATGTTGTGAGTCATATCTATGCGTTATGCGTTAGCACTGTTAGCACTGTGGCTGAAAGCGATTGGACTTGGATTTTTTAAAAATGCACTAAATCATTAGCTTATGTAACGTAAAGATAACATATCAAGCTTATAACATAAATGCTATAGGAGGCGCGATGGTTTTGTGGTCGAGCAGAGGCCTCGTACCCGGGATATCCCGGGTTCGAAACCAAGTTGCTGCGGTAGTGCCCGGTAAGACATTAATCCTCATTACCAAGGCCCTCAAAGAGGACTGAAGGCCGTCGGTCCCCTAGTTGCTTACTTACAAGCATCCGCATATTTTCTTAGCAGTCAGGTAAAACACAATAGCCAACAAATAAAAAGATCGTTCATCAGTTGAAAGTAATTTTACATAAAAACGTGTCTCATGCATTGTCATAGTTGTATGCCCTCCCAAATCCCCGGAAAGGAAAGCAATGACCTAGTTTTCATGGCTGTTTAACACACGTGACCTTATCATGAATTTCATTCTAAATTGAAATGACATTCGTGCTTGAACTCTATAACTATGTATTAGGCTCATGTAATAATAGAACAGTCAAGACATTCATGAAAACCTTGTAATATTATTATCGCGTTTTTTGTTCCCTTGATGTTTCTGCCTATGTCATCTTTATCGAAAGGAATTTTCGAGTTATTCTTTGAGTTATATAGCAGCACTGGCATCACTGAGTAAGGCCTCGCTTGATTATTTAAAAGAAGAAAGAAGTTGTTGAACAGAATTTGTCAAGTTATATGAAAACATTTCAGACTCAACATAATAAATGAAATTATCGTTTTAGCTTTTGTAATGTATTCGTCTTGTTTGCCCATCAACATGCATCATTCCTGGAGTTGTTTCATGGCGTAGTACGTAGTTTAGTTACTTGACTCTCAGTCTTTAGATTGAGGGGTCGAATCCCAGCCCGATACTCAGTACGTCTTTTGGCAAGACATTAGGGACTTTTAGATTCGCACGGAGACAATGGGGATTGCTACGGTCGACGTCCTTTTAATGCACTGCCTTGAATGGACGTCACACGTATCAGTCCACGCAAATCTAAAAGTCCCTAATATTACACATTTACCACTCTCTACCCAGGTGTTAAATGGTTACCCGGTAGAATGTTAATCATTGTAGTTTTCTCAGCATTGTGAGCGTCTGTAAAATGGCGCCTGGCTTGTAATATTCCCCAGGGAGTGAAGAATGTGGATTCCTTGTGCGCGAGCAAGACTGAATCCAAGGGCGGGGGTAATAATAAATCCGTAAGGCACTTTATATAAACATCCTGGATGCATTCAATGCTATATAAATAAAAAACAATATATTATCATTGTTAGCATTATTATTGTTTTTATTATTATTACCATTATTATTATGGTGATGATGATGATGATCATGGTGATGACGGGTAATATTTTTCAGCTGGTAGTAGTAAATATTACTGACTTTTGTTCACGTTTCTACAGATAATCACACAGTGCATCTCCCTCCCCTCATCAAATCACAAACACCGATCCTTATCAACCAAACTAAAGCTGCTATCGATCAACTCAAGAAGTCACGTGATCGTCTATTCAGCGATGCGATTGGTCCATCGAGTGACAGTCAGTGTATGATCCCTAACATGGACACACCAGCACACACGTGTAGAGAGTATATACAATGGAAATGTAAAATGGTCCCTACGTTTACTTCGTATGATCCAGTCAACAGGTATGAATATTCATTGTCTGGTTTTGGCATAACTTAGTGGGGTGGCGAAGTCAGAAAATGAAAGTCAGAGAGAGAAGGGTGCATGAGAGAGAGAGAGAGAGAGAGAGAGAGAGGGAGAGGTGAAGAAAAAGGAAAAAAAGAAGGAGATGATGAAGAAGAAGAGTAAAGAATTCCTTGAAATGCTAGAGCACCCTAATGGCAGCCATGCAAAAGCCGGAGCGCCCGCAATATCCAGTCTGACAGACATGAGCACTTTGAAAGAATCCCCTCTCGTGACTTATTATTATCAAAACGACGAAGAAGGAAAAAAAAGAAAAAGAAAATAGTAGTTGCTTTTTATATTCCATACATCAATATCATAAGGGATTAAAATTTCAGTGGAATAATTAGAAAGAAAAATTCCCAGTCATTTTCATCTAAGCGTATGTAACATGAATTCGTTTCCCAGGTTAAAGTCACGATATAGTCATTATGATTGCCATCCATACTCATGTGTGACAGATTGATTCGTGTTTTAATCTGCAAAGTTGGATTCTACCCACGTTTTAATAAAGCTTAAAATCAGAGTATTACAGTAATCTGTGAATGAATTCTGCCTAAATGTAAAACTTTCTTTCAATAAAACTCCGTTAATATGCAATTTTATTGCAAAGTCACGTCCGTCAATGTATAACAGATATCATAAAAATGAGGAAATACATATAATAACGATGACATAATACAGGCTTTAACAACTGAACCACATCGCCTCCCTAATATGGTATGGAGGAGTTTGTTGTTTGGTTTATAAGATGAAAAAAGGGAGACGGCACTATTCTGGAAACGTAAACAATTAACATGATTAAAGAAACAACTTTTTCGTTGTTTCCCGAAGCCGCGAGATACAAATGATTCTCTATTGACGGTTGAAGGATAATTCGCATAATTCACCAGCTATGCGTAAATGAATTAAAGAAATAGATCTGTAAGCTGGAGAAATCAAGCTAAATTTTGGCTTTTAATTATTGAGTCTAACTCATTAATTGATACATCGAGGGGGATTCACATTTCACACTTACAGGAACGTAAAAAGGAATTGTTGGTGAAGGGGCAAACATTTTCGTGGGCGAGTTAGATACATGTATTTCGTGATAGTTTGGAATACTTCGTGGTAATTCGTCATAGTTACAAACTAAACCAAACAGAGAGATATCAAAAGAAAGAGAAAGAGAGACCGATGGGGAAGGTGGGTTGGTAGTGGAGAAAAGATCGTGTCGAAAGGGGTCGGGGTGGGGATAGAAGACTAGTATTGACATTTCCGTTCCTTTTTGTCCTGATGCATATATATAACTCAATTACACTCTCATTTGTTTTCAGATTAATCTCAGTCACGTGTAAAGGAATGTTTCGAGTCAATCAGGTCGAGAGAGTCGAGTCTGAATACGCACTGTCACCTGATAACTATAGACAACCGCCATTTTGGGAATACTACGAAGGAGTCAATAACATCACCATGGAAACAGAATATGCTGATATCGCCTGTAAAGATAAATTGTGAGTCAACCTTAACGTGGCTTATTAGATATTATGCACACGTTGTCTGGTCCCACTCCCCCTCTCTCTCTCTCTCTCTCTCTCTCTCTCTCTCTCTCATTCGTGCCCTCACTACCCCCCCCCCCCTCTTTCTCTCTTCTATTATCTCTACGACTCTGATCCTTATTTCTGCTTATATATTTTTCTTTTCCTTCTTCTTTGTAAAAAAACACTTTGAAAAAAACCCTATTCCTCTCAAGGTTGATAAGTTATTATCTCCACTAATATCCAATCTCTAGAGTTGAGCTATACATTAAATTAAAGCTTTTGGAACGGATAATCGGAATCGATCATAACATAGAATTTGAAAACACGAATTCTGTCTCCTTTTGACGTGACGGGTCACAGATAATTTGTATCATACGTCATAAGCTTCTACCCTTTATCATAATATAACCTGTGTTCCCTTATTCCTCCAACAGATTTCAAGACGTTCACAATTACCACACTCAATTCCAACCTAGGCCTGGTATCGACTGGCTCCAAGGGAATGCTCTTAGGACGATTCGTCTCAAAGAGCCACAGTGGAAACCGGTCTCTATTCTTACTATAGTTCTAGACTCAACTTCTCGGGCCCACTTTCACAGGAGATGCGGATTGCCCAAGACAGCTGCCTTGCTACGAAAGTATTATGAAGGTAAGTAATCTACAAGGTAGTAATGGTTCTAGTTTTACTGGTGAAATCATCAGGGGAGGGGGAGGGGGTTGCACAAAAAGCCTTGCAAATTGGTTACGGAAAAACATGTCCTCTGTCTCAACGTGCACAAAATAGATAAAACAACATTAAGACAACAAACAGACATGTTCAAATTAAAAAATGGTTACATTATTAGCTGGTTTAACCCTTTTAGTGCAGATATCAACATTAGTATTCTTATGAAATTAGGTGATATGGGACGGTTGGATAGAAAACATGATAGATGTTTACATACAATTCGATGAGTCGAGGAGAGGCGGGGGAAAGGCCTTCTTAAGGTTATCGAGAATACGTGCTTATGTCGAGAATTTCGCACCTTATCTCAGGTACATACATGTATATACGTGATGTTTATAAGGGCGTCCCGGTGGTCGGATGTTTTAATTTTCCATTATGTGAGCAACACTTGCCACATATTCGGGTGGCGGACGGAATTGTGTTTATTGTATTCCTCTTCATTTCTAGCACGTACAGACAAAATTATGAAAGGTCTCGAAAAGGTCTCGAAATTCTTCCTAGTTTGTAGTTGATCTATGTTTAGACAAGACAAGACAACCCACAGTCATTTTCCCAGCGGAAATACCAAAATAAACCATGCTCAAAATCAAGGATGTGTCAACAATTGAATTACCACATTACATTCTCATGTTAACCCTCTCTGTTATTCTAAGATTTGTTTTGTTTTTATTTTGTACCAAACAACCTCCATTTTTGTGAAGATCTTTTGGAGACTGAAATTCAATATGTAGTAGAATGGAAACAGAGCTTTGAACTTAGTTTAGGCCCAACATGTCAAATTCAAGCAAGTTTGAAGGAGAAAGACGCTAAATCCTGAACTCTCTTCCGAATTCGATGATACAAATCACCAATACCACTTGTACTCATCATTATGATGGAATCCGTTACGGTATAATCTTTCTCTTTATTAATTAAATTATATATTACTGTTTTTTTTTTCTTTTCTTATTTTGTTATGATGTCCTTTTCCGCACTTGATATAATTATGACGAAGTTACACAAAATATGTTTACAGTTGATAGGTAATAATTAAATTATATTTTAATATATTATAAGATTACCTTTGGCGAGTTTTCAAAGATCGGAGGAGATAACCCTTTTTAACATTCTCCAATTCTTTAAAGCACTTTTAAACACACAATGAAATCAATTTCAATGCATTTACCTACAGTTCACGGCTCTTCTACTATGCGAGGAAGCGTAGTGACCGAGCGAAATTTCTGATACTGAATAATAAAACTTCCCTCTTTTGATTTTCAGTATGCTGATGTTCAACTCTAACAAAAATGCTTTAATTTATCTTTCTTTACTAGGAATGACCTCAGGTTTATCGCATCAGTCGTTCATGTTTAATCGCTTTAATGGCATCAGTACTGCTACAGTGCTCAATCTAACACCACTCTTCACAGGGCAGCTTTATGATCATGTCGATGAGGAGAAGATCAGGCAAAAAATGTAAGTTACCATGGGTACATTATAATAATAATAATAATACATAAGATTTATAAGGCGACAAGTCCACTTGACAGTCAAATGCTCAAGGCGCAGCTTGTGCAAAAGATGAAATACACGAGACATATATACAAAGTGCAATAGGAAAGGTACAGACATGAAAGGTAATGGTAATCAATTTTACGCTAAATTAAACAGATATATCTTAAGATTATACCATTCTTGTATTGATGATGGTTGCAATCATAGGTGTACCTGGGGAGGAGGCAGGGGCGATAACTCTCACACCCTTCCCCCATGATTTTCAAAGTTCCGATGTTGTGGAAATCATCGCCTTATATCCCAGTTGTGAGGTGCTTTATCTCCTCTCAATAAAGGTTCAATTTGACCGAATATCGTCATATTCGGGCAGCAGGGTGCCTGAATGTTTTAATTTTAATTCAGAAACGTTTTTCAGCTAAAATATTGCAATGAATAATATGCATAACCATTCAAGTATCTTTTATTAAATAGTACCAACAGGTATCTCCCAGTTTGCCAAGTCTAATATCGTTGATACAAATTCTTTAATTTTTCTCGAATATTGCTCTCAGTCATTAGTTAGTCGCAAGTAGGATATCACATGTTTACGTTATCTACTCATCATTCTTTTCTTAGACCACAGACCTGTGACAACAACTTGAACCAGGGACCGGTTTCATAAAACTTCTTTATCAATAACAAATGCCAAAACTATTTAAAAAAAATTGCTCTCAGCCAATCAGATGCAAAGATTTCAGGAGCTTATAACAACTACTGTATCTTATTATTGATAACAAATATGAAACAGGGCCTAGGTTCTGTGAAATAAATTATTTGTTTGTGTGTTTCGTTTAGCTACGGGAAAGATATCAAAGAATGGATGTGGCAGTATGCGGAGTCCCGGGGGTATCTAACAAGCTATGGTGTCGATAATGGGAGCGGCATGATGGGTACAAGAACACAGTGTAAGGTAACCATGGTAACCAAGGATATCAACCATAATTTGTAATGGTATTAAAGCCAATGAAGGACCTTAAGGTAACATTTGATTTGTATTGAAGATTGAAGCTGGTTTTTCCAGAGGACTCATCTATTCGGTAAAAGACGAAAACAAAAAAGATGACTGAGGAAGAAAGGGACATGTATATAAGTCGTATAGCGTTACTATTGGATAAAGTTTTTCCACTGAACAACGAAAATCGGTCATTTATTTAGCTATATTAACCCATTTATTATCAAACAACTACTTTCGAAAAATCAGCCTAACGTAATCGTAATCTGATTGTGATTTCTGTTGGATATAAAGATGGGTATTTAAATTTCCCTTGAGTTGATTTTCGAAAATAATTGCGACCGTGCTAACAATGACCAGTTTAAACCAATAGGGAGTCTTGTAATTAATTGATAATTTTGGAACCGGCGCAGGTTGCATAAAATTACTAAAGCACACATAATTCATTTTAAAAGAATGGCAAACTTTTTTCGTCAAATGTAAAAATGCTTGAGATTCTGGAGAAATAGCATTTATGAGATTTCATTATTTGCTTCACGATAGTATAAACATTATAAGCTTAAACACAAGTAAGTAGTTGACCTAACACCTGTAGGCCTAATAACAAATTCATCTTCGTCTGTTTTTTAAATATATATTATGGGATAGCGCATTCATTCAATTTGTTTAAAGGCTCATTCGGATATGAAAAAGTGAACCGCGGCGTTTGTTTTTAACGTGTGATGTCTCGTTCAGATAAGACGCAGCAATACCGTGGCGTTTTTTTATGATGACGTAAAGTGTAAAACGCTTCACATTTCTGTATATTCTATAACACAGAGCTTTCTGAATACGCGCGGGACATTCGTTGCGCGCAGTATTTACCGCGGCGGTTCAGTTTTTGCGACGGTCAACCGCGTCACAAATGAACGAGCCTCAAATGGATGGCAACTGCGCGCACAAAGGTCCGACGCGTATTCACTAAGCCCTGTGTTAAGACATACAGAAATGACATGAGACTAATAGTCATCACGAACAAAAAGAAAAAAAAAACCTGCCGCGGTTGACCACCTCATATTCTGAACAACGCTTACCGAAACTTTAATACGTAGTAATGTTTTTTTTTTTTCTCGTTTTTCTTTTTGGTCTATGAAAGGCGTGTTTATACAGACCTCCAGTGTTACCTCATATTGAGCATGGATGGAAACGGAGAGAGAATGAACGGGTAAGAATCTAACTATAAACCTATCTTGGAATTCTCAATTACAAATACATCCTCTGTTCGGAGCCAGAAGGGCGTTAACTCTGTGATAATGTATGAGCTATCGCCCTTGTGGTTCCAAACAAACTCTATGTTAGCGTCTAGGAATTGTATATTTTTAGAAAGAGATCAGGACAGAGGGGGCAGAGAGAGAGAGAAAGAGAGCAAAGAGAGAGAGAGAGAGAGAGAGATTTTTAGGCCTATGAAAACTATTAATCACTATGAATATTGTCTTTGGTGCAGGTTTCTACTACTACTCTATCAGGGTTGTGTGAAGGCAACCACATGATACATGAATATATTCTCAATTACACTAGAGATTTTTTACGTCATCCCCATCCTGCTAAGTGGGCAGCGCTGGATCTGAACGCAGGTCACAGGTATTAACTCTGAATTTTCAAATTTGTATCTAAAGTCAAAGATTACTAATATTATGCAAAAATATTAAAAATAAACCTTGAAAGTTAAAAGAAATATATTTCAATATCGGAAAGGAAGTTTTCTGTATTTATCAATTTCGTATTTCAAAAGGATAACGAGGTCATAGTGATGGTAGGCTTAAGTAGTCTTGATAAAACAATATCGTTATTGTTTTGCATAATACTATAATGCCTTACCTCCTCGTCTTTTTTTAAAAATCTTTCCAGAAGAGAGATGGAATCAGTCAACCAAGTCGACAATGAATTATCCAAAGTCCTACAGACGCTGCTTGATGAAGATAAAAACCTTGTGGTGGTATGACTATTGCATGATTAAAAGTATTATTACAACATTACTGCCATGATTATGCAAATAAAACACAGCAGTGAGGGCATTAGTAAGAATCAACCACAGAAGGTACCTTTGGAACGGTCTAACACGCCCGAGGCGATAGCAGAGGATTATTTTACTAATGTCCGAACAAAATGTTGTGTTTTAGTTGTTTTATAAGATGATTTTTTTATTTATTTTTATAAATGATATTTCATAACATGATTTTACTAATAACCGGTCATAAGTAGAATTACATGTTAGGCAAAATAAATGTCTGATCATGTGTACGCTCTCAACCTATTATGTGAGTAGGATCCGCTCCATCTTATACAATTTATTACCATCATTGTAGCCTGGCAATTCCATGTCGCAGTTTAAACAAGGCTATTATATTTTCTGATCTGTTTTGGCTAATCTAGACTTGTATGGGATAAAATAGTAGATTCATTTTTTTTTTAATTTTTGAACTAGTTACATGAGAACACATTGACCATTGCGAGACATACGAGGTCTTTTTGCATGGAGTTATATAGCCAACGATTTGGTGCAGAATATATTTTATTTCGTAAAAATTATCTATACCTTAGCAACTTAAAATAGATACTCCATACAAAGATACCTTGTTAATAATTATCCCCACTATTAGAGATTAAGACCCGCCACTTTTATTGTGGTTTGGAAAACAATTGTCCAACTAAAAGTGAGGATTATCTAGGTAGACCCGTATCATTTTGGTTTCTGAAGGTGTCATGGTGAGTGGTTCAATCACTTGACTCTCAATCCAAGGGTTGAGGGTTCAAATTCCGAGCCTGGCACGAACATCCTTTGACAAGACATACTTTCCACCCAGGTTTAAATGGGTACCTGGTAATTGCTGGGGTAAATCGATTGCAGGGCCCTCAGGGGGGAACAGCATTGATGCTGGTGAGGCTAGTCTGGGTAAACAAAATTATTACAATTATACTAGTTTTGTTTGTTTCTAGGTACTCCTAGGGGATCACGGCAAACCATTCCAGAAAGATCCGTCTTATATTGGAAGTCATTACGAAACACTCCTCCCGTTCTTGTCGGTTACCATGCCAACGTGGATGCTACGTCAGAGACCCGATGTTTTCCGTAACCTGGCTATTAACCAGCAAAGATACCTTGTAAGTTTATTTTATAAGTCTTAGGACAGTCATTATGATCAAAGAAATTAACAGAATTCCCTTCTCAATATTCAACTCCCTTTATTGTGGAATTTTACATGGCAATATATATTTTAATGATTTTTCTAAAGAACTTGATGTACATATGCCTACTGTAGATAATTTAAACAGACATACATATACGCTGAACAGGCAATGCATACTCAACGGAGATATTAGAGCTACAGTAAACAACTAAATTATTCATACCCTTACCAAGTTTTGTAATTTTTTAAGTATATGAAAATGGAATTGTCCCTATTGATGTTTTCGTCTAGAGAATGTAACATAAACCTTACATCTAAAAGTATTGATCGAAGGACCTAATTCACCAGTCCATCTTTCATTATTGAGTTACGAAAAGAGAACAAAAAATTACAAGGGGTATGAATTAACTCAAATGTACTCTTGAGCTAGATGTAGATTTAATACTCAACAAAACATCGAGTACAAGAGTGCACATACGTTTGTTCAGTTTTCAAACGTAAGTTACATCATGTACTCTTCCCCATAGCCTTGGGATCCAGGACTGCTCAGGACCCCCATTGGATAAAAGTTGTTCCCAGGTGCCTGCCCCCATCCCCTCCTTCTCCTCCTCTTGCAACACACATAGTGTAAAAGCAGTATATCTATGATAGACCAATATGTTGTATGTATGTTATGGTTCTACCAATGTCAATACATGTATACCGAGTTTAGATCTCAACACGGATTGCAAAGAATGAATTGAAAAGCTTTCTACCATGCATAATCATATGTCTTTGTTAAGGTACATGCGGACCTGCACGTAAGCATGAAATCACTGCTTCATTTCCCTCATATTGAGGACGTAAAGGGAGTGAGAGGAGAGAAAGCGGTGAATATCTTTCAGGATGAGATTAGAGAAGACAGAGGATGCGAGGAGGCTGATATGCCGATATGGAGCTGTGTTTGTGGAACCATGAAGGTATACGTTTGCACCCATTACCACCATCATCGATTTCTAATTCTGTATAATATTATACGCCACACGTAAAAACAATCGTTGGTCAGTCACATGTAAATGGAAAAGAGTTTTTTTTATAATAGATGACAGGCAACTAAAAAGAATTAGATTAGATCCCCAGTCATTGTTACTGGCCAAGAGTTTATGGACTTGCATTTGATTTATAGGAATTTGATTCATCTCAACGTATATGTACTGTACCTATCTTAAGCAGACAAGAAAGCGTTGATGCTTTCACATATTATATAATGCTTGTAAAACGATGTGTTGTGAAAAAATTAACCGGAACATTTTCTCCCATACGGACTATTTTCTCTTTGTTTTAAGAGACATCACATTACATGAACGGTATTGCGGTAACTTATATAATTTGTTTTGTTAATGAGTTATCCATGTATAAAATAAGTGTAACCAAAGCTAATTAGCAGTGGGGGTGGGGGGGGGGGGGATACACAAACAATATAAACGGATGACCTTTCGATTTATAATACTACATTAATTGAAGATTTCTTTAAAAGTTTGAACAGATTGCAATACGTAAGAGGGATGTTAAGACGTTTTGACAAATAGCTGTCTTTACCATGCACCAGAATTTCTTTTTATCTCCGAATTATCTTTATTATGAATGACAGAAGCTTCCAGGGAGAGAATTTAACGATCTTCATAAAGAAATGGCCGAGGTTGGACTAGGTCATATAAACAGCTTACATAGCCCGGTAAGTATAGAACTATATATCGTAGGCAGGGACAGGCGGAGGGATTGGTGTAAAAGGCCACTTCGGAAAAAGCACTTGTAGAAATGACCCCGAGATATCCACATATCTTTTAAATTAAAGTCCCTCTAAAGTGTTGGGAGCCCCAAATTTGTCAAAAATATGTGATGGTAAAATGTCAATTAAATGTATTATAATGTGAAAGTGGATGTCATTTTATTAAAAAAGTACAACAGAAAACCCAATTTATGTGTTTTGTCATCAATATGTGTCTTCAAACACATTTTTTCTTCTTCAGAAGTGTGTCTTAAATGACACCATCTTACACATTATTATACAATATACGTGAAAAATTGCCATCAAATTTGTAGGGCACCCAACACTTTAGAGGGATTTTAAACATGGAGATGTTTCACTTTGGGCATTTTTGAATAATCACTGCCATAGTGATGGAAGTGCTTCATGAATTATACCTTTTGTTTGCATATAACACAGGTGCAGGTATGAATAAAGATTACATAACTTTTATGAACACGTATCTAGCAGTTGTCTTGATGGGATTTACAGTTTATAGTACAATGACCTTTATCTGCCTAAAAGGGGTTTTAAGGGAATGCTGGCTTGACTTCTGCTGTCGACCTTAAAATTAACATAGGCCAATAATGTGGTCATTGGCTTAATTAGCCACAAATTGACGAGGGGGCCTTGGTGCGCGGGCAGACGGAAAGCATATGGGTAAGGGGATATGGGGGCAGTCAGTACACTGTTGAACTATTGCAAGTTCCGTTGATTTGCGATGCACTACAACTAGACATATGCGAAAAGCCTTATCTGTTGCTGTCTTCAAAGTTTTATTGAAGACGCACTTCTTTTCAGGAGCTTTTGAATATTTTGTTTTGACTGTTTGTGTGTAAAGTAGCACCGTTAGGAGTTTTGTTTTCATAGCTGTGCTATATTTTTTGTATTGCTTGATTTGCCTCATTTTTGCATTTTTCTTACTTTCCATTCCCGTTTATCATCTTAACGTATCATTTCTCTTTTTCTTAATTTTTGTCCTTGCAATTACTCTCTTTCTTTCCTCATAAGTAGTAACAAAATAAGCACTGTTCCTTTTATTTAATTTATGTACATCTGGTTATGCTGAGGCTTTAGCTTTAGCTTTTTCAATGTAATTATCATACATATGGTTGTATCTTTTGTTTTAACTGTTACCATGTATATTATGTTCTTTTATTGTATGATTAGTTATGATTATTATCATGTATATTATGTTCAATTATGTTATTTTCGATAAAGTGGAAATAAATAAACTTGAAACTTGAAATGTAAATTGATCTAATTATTACAATCATTATCATGTTTTCATGTAGAGTCTGTTGAGCAAAGTGGATTCTAGTCTCCCTCTCAGACGCTCATCATGTATAGATCTCAGCTTCAAAAGACTTCTACACGTGTTTATCAACGAGAATGAGAATAAACCAATCAACTCTACCTTTAGACGAGTCTACCATATGACCTTTCAGACTAACGAGCTGGATACTATATGGGATCTAGTCATCGACAATCAATTAAATATCAAACAGGTGAGATATCTTTCATTTTAAAGCCCCACTGCACTACTTAAAGCTACTTGCGCCCTCTATATAGCAAACAATGCATATTAAAGCGATGACCGTTGGTTCCCCATGGTCCATTTTTTCTTATGTTAATTGAGAGCTGATTTGATGAGATAACCACCTGTCAGTTACCATGCAGGAAGGTCTAATCCCTCCTGGCCAAACTAGTGCAGAGGGGCTTTAAATGAACTACAATAATGGCTTCAGATTACTGACAAAATTCACTACCAGATACTTATACCAGCTTTAAAAGCTACGTCTAGCACTCTACCTTAAGGCATCTTCTCACTCTTTCAGCAGCAAAGAACATCATATTCACTATGATCTACATCAGCTCCATCCCTTATCATTCCCAAATTCTGAAAACAGACTGGCTTAAAATCCTTTCAGTCCCTTGATACACGCTTAGCAACGGAATAAACTTCCTGCATTTTTAAGAAATAGTAATTCACTCGACTCCTTCAAAAACATCTGAAACACCTTTTATCCTTTGAAAAAGGCACTATATAAATCCAATAATTATTATCATTATGATAATTATGGCCATGGGTTCATTAGCTACGTGATTAGCACGCAATACTACAAGTACAATAAGAGGTACACTAGGGCAGAAGTTCAGTATTGCTTTAATTCAAGCATTTGACCCATTTTAACATGGTTTATGTCATTATCTTTTTACAGGTGAAACAAGCGAGTCTATATCAGAGGTTTGATGTGTGTTGGGATAAACGAGTTCCACAGCCATTCTGCGTTTGCGATCTTAGTAAGAAGGCAGAAGACATCATATGATCTACTCAAATCCAGAACATGGACATCTTCTCTGGCCTGGGGGGTTTTTCACAGAGCCTTTTTTCAGTGACAAATGACAAAAATCAGTGACAAATCTGCTGATAACCAATCAGAAGCAAGGATTTCAGTAGCTTATAACAAAATATGTCATTTGTCATTGATGACAAGTTTTGTGAAACGCCCCCCAGATGGATAGTTCAGATATGACGCAACAAAATTGCATTTTCTTTTGTGATGACGTAAAGTGTAATATGCTTAACAATGCTGTATCTTATAACACAGAGCTCAGTGAATACATGCAACATCCATCAGTCCCCCAATTGTTTTGAAGCCATAGAAGAACTTTATCATAACCATGGATTGGCTTTCATCCGGCTTTAGACTGATCTTGACCAAATTTGGCAATCACACGAATGAACGGACTAGTAATGCCTTGTAATGCCTTGTAATGCCGATACTGCAGATATATGCTAACCTTTACATCCAGCTTTCAGGGAGGATTCATTCAGAAATCAGGGAGTTTTCAATCAATTGCATACAGCAAAATAAGAATAATCTTTCACAAAATCAGGGAGGTATTAACATTTATGTGGGATGAGGTATAAAAAAATAAATTTTTCAGGGGGCCTCCCTGAAAATCAGGGAGGGTTGGCATCTCTGATACTGCACAGAACAGCCAGGGCGCGGTAAATGAATGGCAATTGCATGCAACATACGACTTGCTTGTATTCACAGAGGAGAAAAAAAGTCTGCCTCATCATTAAGCAAATAAGCACAATTTCACAACTAATTTCTATAATAAACACTCTGTCAGAATCGACCAGTTTTATTTTGATTCCACATAGAAGAAATGTCTTCACTCTCTTGTGCAATGTAATCAACAATGTGTATATACTGTAGGTAGTTTGTAAGTATTAAATCCAATACTGTATCTCCATATCTCAAATAAAAGACTTGAAATATAAATACTGTTTACTTGCATGATTCTTTTACATACTGACCACATATTGTACATGTATCCTTTTAATTATAAAGCAGAATTCAGTTGCCTCACACCTGTTAAAACTGCCCCAGTAAAAGTGACTGGACACAGCTAGACAACTATGTACATGTGGATAAATTCTCTCTTTAAGGACAATCCCACCATCCTAAAACTTGCTCTACTAAATAACAAATAAATATGATACTTGTTGTATGTTTATACATGAATTGAAATGTCTTTCCTGTTCATAACAGATGAGAAATAACCAAGTTTGTATTAAATTCATATGACTAAAACATCTTAATTTTTCCACAAAGTTAGGTATTTTCCCGTTTATCACCACTAATCTATGATTTTAAACAGGTTCAATCTAATCCATCTGGTACATCAAGTTTGAAGATGGATTAATCATTAAAAATAAAAAGTATTGTAGGAAGAGATACAGTCATCACAAATTAGCTTAATTAGATATTGAAAAGCTTGGCAATTAGAAAATACTGAGAACAAATTAATTATACTAATACCCACAGGAAAGATGAGGTGTCTAAAGAAAATTGCTTTTACATGTAGCTAGTGCAAGTCCCACCTTTGCAATATTTCTTTACACAGGCAATATTTTGGGTGACAGATCCACTTAAATCAAACTTGTTACTTTAAACTAACAAAAACAGGATATGAAATGGAGATATAAAACATTTTGGCACAACCTATCTTGTTGTATCTGAAGAAGCTTGCAGCATGGCCTATCAATACAAGCATACACATATATAGATTTGGGTATCACATTCAAACTTTCAATCAAACATGTTCCAATTATATTAAACAAACTTTCATTGCAGGCACTTGCTATACTGAACAAGTATATAAACAAAATATATATATATATATATATATGGGGACGGTGAGCGATTTAGCTCTGAAAAGCACAAAAATAGCTCAGGTAAATTGAAAAAGAGCTCCAGGGAAAATCACAGTGAGAAAAACACACTGACATGTATACAACCCCCCCCCCCCCCCCCCCCCAAAAAAAAAAAAAAAAAAAAAAAAATTAAAGTTGTTGCGGACAGAAAACTATTTTTTACAATTCATTGCAAAACTGTAGTGTAGCTCTGCCCTGGTCACAAGTAAAAAAACATGTCAACAATGTAGTTTTCTTCTGATAATACATGCGTTCATAATGATCACGTACCATCCAGTTTACCTGTACATTATCTTAATGGTACATGTAGATGCATTCTCTGTGTAATTATTATCAATAATATAGGTTAGGGGTTGATAGAAGGGGTATCAATAATATGAATTATAGATGCTAACATTCAGGCCATAGAAAAGACATGGAATGGCATGGGAAACAAGGGGTCTGTTTTTTATTTTCATGGTCCACATTTTTTTTGCAGCACCTGAAAATTTGTGTACTAATTTTTGGTGCTGAATTCAAATATCCACTGTTGATCCCCTGGTTGATTACTTACAAGCATACACATGCTTTAGTAGCAGTCAGGTAATAAACCTTCAAACAATCATACCAATTTAATAATCGTATCATAATAATAATAATATAGAATATTTTATAGCGCACATATCCACCACGTAAGGTGCTCCAAGAACCCCTCAACTCTGCTAGCATACCGTATCAGTGCTCACAGCATTCAAGGAATTCCTTCCTACTGGTACCCTTCTACCTCCTGGGGGGAAAGTGGCAAATGTAGATTAATGTCAAGCCAGAGGACATTAGTGCCGCAGCGGGAATCCTCAGTCCAACATTGAACGACGTATCCACTAGACCATGGGAGTGTTTCACAAAGACTAAAATCGACTTTAAGTTGGACTTAACTATGGCAGGCTATTCATGCCACTGGTTGCTCTCATCATTGGTCTCTCAACTATGATCTTTGGATAATATATTTAGTTTCAATAATGAACTATCAACAAAAGGCAATTCTATAGAGTTGTGACCATGATTTGTACGTCCCTTGATAAACCAATGCCATGAATGGTCAGAGGAACTAGTGGCATGAATGGCCTGCCATAGTTAAGTCCAACTTGGAGTCAATCTTATTCTTTGTGAAACACCACCCATGACACTTTTACAATTCTATTCCAGAGACCCGTTTCACAAAGCCTTTTTTAAATGACAAATGACAAAAATTAGTGACAAATCTGTTGATAACCAATCAGAAGCGAGGATTTCAGTAGCTTATAACAAAAACTGTCATATGTCACTGATGACAAGTTTTGTGAATCCCCCCCCCCCCCCCCCCCCCTGGGTTACTACTCTATGTCTGTTTAGGTCTCTTGTTGATATGATAAGTTGGTCTCATCATTTGCAGCTTTCGTTTCCTTGAGTCTTTCTTCAACTGCTGTTTCTTCATCTTCCTCAAAGCTGCTTTCTCAGGATCAGCAACAGCCTGAAAGTACAAACAAACCAACATTACCCATACATCCAAACTCTGCAAAATAATAACAACGGTGCAGGAGAGGCACATTGTAGAAAGGTATAACTAGGAAACGAAGGATAAAAAGAGGAAGAGAATAAATATGACAGATACAGAAGGGAAAAGAATAAATATGAGACATTACAAAAAATAATACATATGAGAAGTAAGAATAGAGGAAGAGAATAAATATGAGAGATCAAAAGAGGAAGAGAATAAATATGAGAGCTAAAAATAGGAAGAGAATGAATATTAGACATAATTGTAAGATGATTCTTGGTTAGCTCCGCAAAATATAGTGTCATAGAAAGATAAAAGAGAAAGAGGTATTAAAGAGAAGAAATGAGGAGGCATAGATAAATGAAGGAGAAGAGAAGAATTATGATTGAACAAAAATAGGAAGATAATAATACAAAAGGAGAAAGAGTAAAAGAAGAAGATGGGAGAGAATAACAGAATAAATAAAGGAGAAAGAGAACAGCAATAAAACAGAAGAAAAAGAGGGAAAAAATAGATTGATGGGAAAAAGGAATAGAAAGTGAAGAGGGGGAGAGAGAGAGGATAAAGTGAAGGAAAAGAGAAAAAAGAAAGAGGGATAGAAAGAAAGGAAAAAGAGGGAGATGAGGAGAAAGCAGAAGAGAGAGGGGACAAAATAGGATGAGAAGGAAGGTTGGTATCATGAAGTGTACCTCTAGAGCTCTCTTCCTTTTCCTAGCCATTCTTGTTTCATTAGAATCCCTTTGAACTGCAGCGTAGACCTCTGAGAAAACATCTAATCCAACCAGAGACTTCAACAGCTCCAGGACCTCCTGACACAACGTCTTTAGCTCAGGATCTGGTAGAATAAACAAATCAAAAGAAAGTACATCATCCATCTGACTATGTGCAAGACAAATCTCACAGCTTTTAAAGCAGGAATGCACTTCTTATATCTACTTGCGCCCTCTATATAGCCAACAATGCCTATCTGGTACCTGTTGGTCCCCCATGATCCTCTTTTTCTTATGTTAATTGAGAGCTGATTTGATGAGATAACCACCTGTCAGTGACCCTGCTGGGTGGTTTAATCCCTCCTGGCCAAACTAGTGCAGATAGGCTTTAAAAACCAGTATATTTATCAATAAAGACTTACCAGCTTGAGCTGACTTGTCGTTGACCTCTCGTCCCACCACATGAAGCATGCTAGGAAGGTATGGTCGAAGCGACCCTTGACCTAGGTCTAAAGCTGTAGCAGCGATCCATTTAATCACTGACATCCTCTTGAGTGTTATCTGAATCAAACAACAAATCAAAATGGAGATTATGGGTAGAAAATCAAAACATTATTAATTTTAGTTCAATTTAATTCAATTTCACACAGAAAGAAAAAAATAAATTCTCATACAGAAAATTAACAAAGACAATATCACAGACCTACTTTCTACTTATTGGGTAAAGTTGTCTTTATAGGGGAAAAAAGTTACCTACAGGTACTGAGCAATCATAATAGAAGTTAAAGTTTTAGCTCCAAAGCTGAATAAATTTTACTTTGATTTTTTGTTTAATTACTATTATTTTTTATTACAACCAAAACTTGAGGTTGGATTTCAAATAAAAATACAAATACAAACAGATAGATGATAATGGTAGAAATTATGTACACAAAAAGTCAAAGGAACTGTAGAGTCTGATACATACATGTAAGCGGTATATATGAATAAAATGTCCTACTAGCAAACTTGTTTAAGAAATCATTGCATCATAGAAATGGACTTGCTCTTGTGCAGTGGATGAGAGGAATATATCTTGTTTAAAGCCTGACTGCACTAGTTTGGCCAGAAGGGATTAGACCAACCAGCATGGTCACTGACAGGTGGTTATCTCATCAACTCAACTCTCAATTAACATAAGAAAAAGGGGATCATGGAGGACCAGTGGTCACCGATTAGGTGTTGTTTGCTATATAGAGGGCGCAAGTAGCTATAAGTAGTGCAGTTGGGCTTTAAGTTTTATTCTAGAATGGTTTGATCTTACCTTTGGGGTCTTAGCTACCTCAGTGGCTGCTATCCTGCTCATTCTCTTCAAGATCCAAGACGTACTCAGCGTTTCGTTCTCTCTGTCCATCTTCTCTTCTCCTCCTTCCTTCTCTTCATCTCCTTCTTCCTCCTTCTCTTCGTCTCCTTCTTCCTCCTTCTCTTCATCTTCTTCTTCTAGTTCTTCTACAGCTTCACGAGGGTTCAATATCCGCACCACTTTGGATATGAAGATGACGTTCTTAATCACCTGGCAATAACAACAACAACGACACAAGAAAATATCAAATTGTATATCTTTTAACTTTTCAAAATTTCTGTTTGCGATAGCACTTGGATTTGGTGTTGACCTCCAAGAAAAAACATTAACAACTATCCATAAATTCAGAGTTTCTTTGTAGAATAAGGGATTATTGTAAATATATCAGTTACTCATACACGCCAACATTTGAAAATCAGAAATCTGTACAAATTATGCTATTTTAAAAAAAAAGAGGAACAATCCTAACTCTCCTATTCAATACTACAGACAAATTTGTACAGGAAGAGGAACACCTGCATTAAAATGATAATTATCTTCTCCCAAAAAGAGGAATGTTCCTCTTTAATCTGAACAGTTGGCATGTATGGTTACTGAATGGCACTGTGGATAGTGACAATTTCAAGATGACTTGTTATTGAGAGTTTGAAGGCCTCGGTAGACTATGAATAGCTGACGATGGAAACAGAAAATGTTCTATCCGCCTTGACTATCCTTTCTGCCAAATAAGTTTCAGCTTTTGACATCACCTATCTTGCTTGTTTTCTCCTACTTCAAGACTCTTTTTCTCTTAACGATGAAAACATCTGAAATAATGGCACTCCTACAAATTCTTGCCCCCAAAACAGTAAAAAAATAAGAGTAAAAAAGTAAATAAGTAAAAAGTAAAAAGTAAAAAGTGAAAATAAAAAAGTAAAAGGTAAAAAGTAAAAATTAAAGATTAAGAGGTAAAAAGTAAAAAGAAAAAAGGAAAAAAGAAAAAGTAAAATGTAAAAAGTAAAAAGTAAAAAGTAAAAAGTAAAAAGTTTTACCTGCTCTGCTAGCTCCTTGGTTACCATGCTGGAATTGAGCTGCTTACAAAACTTGTCCGCCAATCCCATCATCCTCTCTTCTAGGTTGCTATGGAGATACTCCATCCTCTTGCCTTCCTCTGATTTAACAACAGCTCCTCCATCTCTAATCATCTCCTTCTGGTTCTTCTTCTTCTTTTTTTTCTTCTTCTTCTGCTGACTCTCAGACGAAGGAGTGATTGCTGCTGCTGCTTCTGATGCATCAGCGTCTGTTACTATAGCAACCAGATGATGCGGTTGCCAAGCAGCGAAGAGTTCTCCAAAGAGTCTTGCAGCCATCAGTCTCACCCAAGAGTGAGGATGAACAAGGTGTGATTCCAGAGATTCTACAACATTAAGAATTGAAACAAATTAAAAAATAATGAATGTATGTGCGTTAGGTAACGTTAAGCCTTAAAGGGACTCGTTAACATTGTTCAGAAGAGAGAAAATGGTGCTTAGGTAGTTACTTCAACATCTCACTTTTTTCAGAGGATAACTCATCAACTTTATGATGAATTTCTTAGAGTTTGTGCACTTAGGTATATCCTACTTACCCCACATAGATGTGATGATTTCAGGTTGATCTTTGTAGGTAGCTAGCTGACACTGTTTAGTGATCTTACAAAGTGCCGACATGACATGAAACATGAGATGATCTTGAGCTTTCATTTCATTCTCTTCTCCTAGCTCCTCCTAACAATCAAATCAAATAAGATCAAATAAAATCACAAAAAATCATAAAATAATAATCATACAAAAAATTTATATAACACTTGTGACGCAAAAGTATCAAAGAGCTGTAAACAAATCAGATAAAATCAAATCAAATCAATTCAAAACGATTAAAATCAGATCAAATCAGATTAAATAAAATTAAATCAAATTAAAACAAATCTAATCTAAACAGATCAAATCAGATCAAATCAGATCAAATCAAATTAGATTCAAATTAAATCTAATTTAATCAGATCAAATAAGATTAAATCAAATCAAATCTAATCTAATCAGATAAAATCTAATCCAATCAAATTAAATCAAATCACAGGCCCAATCAAATCAAATCTTATCTAATCAGATAAAATCCATTCCAATCAAATTAAATCTAATCTAATCAGATAAAATCCAATCCAATCCAATCAAATTATATCAAATCACAACAAATGAAATCAGAACAAATCAGATTAAATCAAATCAAATCAATCAAATCAAATCAAATCAAATCAATTCACATGTGATTTGGAACGATATAAATCTGAAAACTGAAAGCAATTGATGAAGCTGTGTCTTGCTCTTACCTCTAGTAAGTTCTCGGGCCTGATGATATCACAGATGACTGGTAATACCTGAGTGAGACGTCGGTTGAATTCTTCTTCCTCCGCTTCTACAAAGATGGCCGTTAATTGAGCGGCCAATCTCTGATGCGCAGGCTTCGTATCTTGCAACCAGTGTAGAGTGATGCTAAACAGCTCATCACGCTTCTCTAAGCTTAGCTGTAAGAGAAATTAAAGGCATAGTTTAACAGTGTTAAATCTGAGATGCATGGCCCTAAGTGTTATCAGTTTCTGTAATATGCTGTTAATAGTATTAAAGCCCTAAGAAAAATGTGTATGTATTGTTTTAAAAACTGTTAGGAAAACGAACTTTGAAATTTCGATTTCCATTCATAAATATCTTGATAATCAGACAGACGATTGGCTTATAAAAGTCAGATGATTCCTGACTGACCTAAAGGTTTATAATTATGATTGCAGCATGAGCTTAATCCAGGATTTTGTTTCAGAATCTGAGGCAATGTTTAACACCAAGTCACTTTAAAACATCACTTTAATTTTTTAGACTATCCAAAACAGCATGCTTTATAGATACATGGTAAAATTCATAAGTCTTTAGTAGAACACTCCATCATGTCCAGATATTTGTAAATGCACACAATGCATATCTTTATATGCACTACACAGTTATGGCTTGCTCAGATATGGCGTGGTAAACTGGTGAAGAAAAAAAATCACCATTTTTACATGTTAATGAATTGAAACTGCAAGCAACAAAAGACTTGCACATATGCATTGAGCTCTGAGACTAGTGCACAGCCCTCGTACAATCAGATAAAAGAATATTTGAGAGATGACTCACCTTATCTAAGAGAGTGATGAGAGCCAGAGCCGTCAGCTTTCTACAGTTTGCTGAGTCATCATTCACTAACCGTGTTGCCATGGGGATGTAGAACAGACCAGCATGCTCTACAAGAAGTTTCTGGATGACAAAATTTTAAAAAATTAAAATAAATAATAATACCTGTTTCTTAAAATAAAATGCTCTTTCATAAAAAGATCAAAGCATTACAGTATTTTTATTATCCCAGTCACTGGAATGAATTACTATTCTGCACATCATAGTACACATTCTCCACTCCCTGGGTAGCATTCCAGCTACTCGTCATCTAACAAGCACACACATGCTCATCCAACCACAATGATGTTTGCATCCTACCAGACCAGTTTATAGCACCTGGGTATAAAGGAGCAATGTAGATAAAAACGCCTTGCTCAAGGACTCACATACAGTACCGAAGCTGTGACATCAGAACAAAATCTATTTTTAGAATTTCTAAATTTTGTCTTCATTTTCCGAAAGAGCATCAAAAATTGTGTCCAAATGTTGAAAACCAATTGAATATGTTAAGTATTGGCTGAGATACATGTAGGACCATCCAAATAAATAGATTGCCTATAGAAACTCTGCGTTAAATTGCTCTGGCTCATAATGTTATGAACCAGAGCAATATAACACTCCTATAGAGTTCCTATATAATCTACATGTATTTATTCAGATGGTCATATCTCAAAATATATTTTTGATGACATCACACTTCACCACTCTATTGGACTTGCCTTTTTCATTTTGCTGCTTCTCATGTGATCATTCTTTCATGGATTGTGATAGGTCTAATAAGACTTACCTGGGGGAAGGACGAGTAGATGGTTGCTAGCATCTCTAGGGCCGACTCTCTTCCTGATTCTACGCTGAAACTCAACTGCTTCACGTAGAACTCTAGATGGCGCTTTAACTTCTTACCAAGCGGGTAGTCCAAGAGAAACTGATGCATCACCTGTGGTATGATAATAATATAATAATCATAATGGATATTTTTGTAGCTCTGGTCCAGTTCTGGTCATAGGATGGCATTGTAAAACAAATGTTGTGGAATCGATCAGAAAAGGTTAATCATCTAGCATATAAGTATTGGTGTGTACTGCGAGGTTCTGGAATCATCAAAATGATAGGAAATTTTGCCCAGTCTTGGTAAAGTTACAAGCACTGTACACAGAAAGATGTATATGGGACTACGCTATATCTATCCAGGCTGGATAAATATGACAATTTACCAAAAATATGTTTTAGTAGGCAAAGTGTGCATGTTGGTGTTACTCAAACATATTTGTAATTTCTATTTTTTATGACTATATTGGTGTTACTCAAACATATTTGTAATTTCTATTTTTTATGACTATATTGACTATTTTCTACAAATATTTTGAGTATTTTCTAAGACTATATTGAGTATTTTCTACAACTATATTGAGTATCTTCTATGACTATATTGAGTATTTTCTATGACTATATTGAGTATTTTCTTTGATTATATTGAGTATTTTCTTTGACTATATTGATTATCTTCTATGACTATATTGAGTATTTTCTTTGACTATATTGAGTATTTTCTTTGACTATATTGAGTATCTTCTATGACTATATTGAGTATTTTCTATGACTATATTGAGTATTTTCTTTGACTATATTGAGTATTTTCTATGACTATATTGAGTATTTTCTATGACTATATTGAGTATTTTCTTTGACTATATTGAGTATTTTCTTTGACTATATTGAGTATTTTCTTTGACTATATTGAGTATCTTCTATGACTATATTGAGTATTTTCTATGACTATATTAAGGATCTTCTATGACTATATTGAGTATTTTCTATGACTATATTGAGTATTTTCTATGACTATATTGAGTATTTTCTTTGACTATATTGAGTATTTTCTTTGACTATATTGAGTATTTTCTTTGACTATATTGAGTATCTTCTATGACTATATTGAGTATTTTCTATGACTATATTGAGGATCTTCTATGACTATATTGAGTATTTTCTTTGATTATATTGAGGATCTTCTATGACTATATTGAGTATTTTCTATGACAACATTGACTCACCTGTCTGCACTGTAACCTGACAGAGCTGGACTGTTGAGTGATTGACAGATCTGAGATTTTACTCATGATACCATGGATTTCTGGAGCTACCAGCTTTCGAGTCAAGATGGCCTAAGAGAAAAAAAAAAAAAAATTTATATAATGTTAACAATTTAACATGATTCTTGTAGTCTGACTTCACATGTTTGGATTACCTTTTATCAATACTTGTTTGTATTTTAAAAAAATAATACAAATCATTTTTGTAAATAATCTAACTAGTGAAAATTTGAAAAATGCACATTCATGATTTTTTTTTTTTATCACTGTGAACCTTGGGTCTCTGCTCTGTGTATAACTGATGTTACGCTGATGAACGTGAACCGGGTCTTCATTAGAAGATAGTGAGGCAGTATAACTTGGCTGGTGTAATCATGGATGCCTTCTTCAGCGTATAATGGAACTCATCCGCATGCATCATTTGTATATTATATGCTGATGAACATGATACGGGTCTTCATTAGAAGTATTACTGTTACCAATTTGAATACGAATAGTGATTGATACGGCATAGAGAACATACCTTGAGCATTGTGAACGCAGTTGCTTGTCTGGTGTAATCATGGATGTCTTCCTCAGCATAGGCAAGTAGAACTTGCAACTGTTTCTCATTGATTGTGTAGTGCTTCACATCGCGGATCAGGACTGTTACCGCCTAAAAACAACCATAAAAAGAACATCTTTGAAAACAAACTTAATTAACAATTTTTAAGATCTCACAAGTGTGTATCCAGTGCACCATTTCCACTCTTTCTGTGTTTTGTTTAGTAAAGCACATAGAGACATGCAATTATGTCTATGTGTTATGCACTGTACAAAAATGTTTCATTATTATCTCATTTATGTTTAGATGCATTATGAGGTAGATTTATAGCACTGCCGTGTTTCAAAATGCAGTCACCAAAATTATTTCCTCTATAAAAGATTAATCAGCAAAAACATCAAGGTAGTCTTAAAAAACAAAGCAAACAGTGAAATTTATTTCTTCTGTTAATAATTTGAAGTAAATTTGAATAATTTTCAATATCACGAACACATAATAACACCAATCCATGAAAATCCAATTGCATTAAAGCTATTTGGATTAAGCATCCAATCATGCTTTTGAATACAACAGATTGTGTATTAAACATCAACAATAGATACAGTTCATGATAGCTGTGGATCATAAGCCAAAAATGAGTTCACAAGTTGAATATTGCAGATGAAAATTATCTAAATGGATACAGTTCCGCCTGCGATCAACGTCACACTGATCGCACGCAATTGATCGCGCTCAAAATGCGCGACTATGAGCGCGATCGCGCGCTCTTGTTATGCGTTATCACTGAATGCGCATACTGTCCTCTACGGCAGAAAAGAGGCGCGATATTCTGTACGGCAGCATTACAAAAGCGCTCGATTCCGTTCAAAACGGCAGTAAAAAGCGGGGGTGTTTTAAAAATATCTCTCCCGTTTCAATTTTGTTTTCCTCATTAATACGTTGATTGTTTTCCCTTTTTGAAGATTATCTAGATCATGCATGCCTGCTTTTTTTTAATTTTCTACTTCTAAAAACAATAATTATCAGCAAGGTTTTGTTGCCCCTACGGAGATCTAAAAACGATAATTATCGGCAATACTTTGTTGCCCCTACGGTGATCTAAAAACAATAATTATCGGCAAGGTTTTGTTGCCCCTACGGACAACTAAAAACAATAATTATCGGCAAGGCTTTGTTGCCCCTACGGAGATCTAAAAACAATAATTATCGGCAAGACTTTGTGGCCGCTACGGAGATCTGAAAATTATAATTATCGGCAAGGTTTTGTTGACCCTCCGGAGATCTAAAAACAATAATTATCGGCAAGACTTTGTTGCCCCTACGGAGATCTAAAAACAATAATTATCAGCAAGGTTTTGTTGCCCCTATGGAGATCTAAAAACAATAATTATCGGCAAGGTTTTGTTGCTCCTACGGAGATCTAAAAACAATAATAATCGGCAAGACTTAGGTGCCCCTACGGAGATCTAAAAACAATAATTATCGGCAAGACTTTGTTGCTCCTACGGAGGTCTAAAAACAATAATTATCGGCAAGGTTTTGTTGCCCCTCCGGAGATCTAAAAACAAAAATTATCGGCAAGGTTTAGTTGCCCCTCCGGAGATCTAAAAACAATAATTATCTGCAACGTTTTGTTGCCCCTATGGAGATCTAAAAACAATAATTATCGGCAAGGTTTTGTTGCCCCTACGGAGATCTAAAAACAATAATTATCGACAAGACTTTGTTGCTCCTACGGAGACAATTAGTTGTCGCTGATATTACCGGCTTTGTGACAAAAATTAAGCCGACGGAAAGAAAGAAATGAATAAAGAAAATTAATTCAAATATCACTTGCGCTAGAGAAACAAAAAGTGAGAGAGATAGAAGCGAAAACGATTAAATATCGCTGATTTTACCGGCTCTCATGATAAAACTTAAGCCGTCGGAAATAAATAAAGAAAATGAATTGCAATATCACTGGCACTAGAGAAATAAAAAGTGAGAGAAAGAGATTGGTGAAAGAGATTGGTGAAAACAATGAAGTGTCGCTGATATTACCGGCTTTCATGACAAAAATTAAGCCGACGGAAAGAAAGAAACGAATAAAGAAAATATCACTTGCGCTAGAGAAATAAAAAGTGAGATTTTTTTCTTCTTCTCCACCTCACTTTGTCACTTTGATTCTATTTTGTACTAAAATTTTTGTAAATAATTATGGGTTCACCTATTAAAACTTGCATATTTGTTTGTAAAGTGTATTTTCATTGTTTTATATTCTGTTCTAACAAAACAATGGATTCTGAGTGGGGCATTCTGGCGACATTCCGAATGCCAATTGTATAAATCCGTGACGTAATTAACTATGAGGCCTAAAAAATAAAAATATATTGTGCCTTAGGTGCTAAAACATGGGTCGGTCGGAAAATAATCATCTATCTTTTTTTTTTTTTTTTTTTTTTTTTTTTTCTCGCCCTTTTTGGGCTGATATTTTTCAGCTTTTAATGCTTTAATACATGTGTTTCAGCGACATCATTCCATTCATATCTTTTCACCTTATACTAATCCATGGTTTACAATATTGTGTTGAGACAACACTCTCTGCTTCCCAGCTGATGAGGTTTTTCAACTGCCTGTAAAACTTGCTAGCAATGTGAAGATTGTTGACAAATTGTACAGGTAGTCCCGGGCACAAAGTGGTCTCTTTACTAACCAAAGAAGGGACCGAAACTGACACAGGAAAAGACGGCCAGACAGTTTTGCATGCAAGAGGTTCAAATCATAGCCTATCACAAAATTTGTATCTAAACTGGCCCGCTTCATAAAATATGCTCTTCATTCCTGTTTCAGTCCTGGGGATTGTTCCAAGTGTATGTTTGTATCCGTTTGTTGAGTCTGAAATGAGTCAAATCTGACCCCAAAAAACAAACAATAATCAAATACATGAATGTTAGAACTCACTGTATCTCCATTTTTTAATCTGAGTTGTATAATTTACGAAGTTACAAACCAACTTACACTTTGTCTTGCTGGAAAACTTTAATAAAGAAACAATATTTGAATAAATAAACACAAATATAATGTGTGTTTTCTCGATCACATGAGTTTCATGGAACAGAGCGCATACGATCCCATTTGATTGCAACTGATCGCAGACAATTACTGCGTGTTCTGGTAACGTAGAGGCTTGTGGATAGTTCTCAATGTTGTAGGGTAAGTTTGAAGGAAAGAAAAAGACAAAACTCTAACGTTTGAGATTCGAGGAAACATAATATGGGGATGTATGAGTAGTTTCTGTCATGGGCGGAGATTCCTTTTCGAAAGGTTTACAAACGTGTATAGTCTCATAGCAACAGCATTCATTTGCGATCAGATGCAATCGCGTGAAGAAAAAAAAGTCTTTAGCGGTAAAAGGCACGACAATTATAATTTTGATGTAAAAAGCCCGGTCGACAAAGCCTATTCAAATTTTACGTGCAGGTAGATGAAACACAAATTATGTTCTTTGTAAAAATTATATTGCTATGGTGTCCTTTGAGAATCAATTGACGGATCATTCTCATGGCTCCTCTTTGAAAAGACATAACGGAAAAATGTACTCTCACCGTACCAGGTGTTTCGGGGTCAAGTTAAACATTTTATGCGTCCTCAAAAGATTCCCTTTTTCTTTCAAACACAATTCTTGTCGTTAAGCAATATCCCTATTTCTGTAAGAGCATTCGCACTCAAGCAGACTATGAATCTTAATTTTGTTATGTCTCTCCAATGTATATAATAGTTTAAATAAAACGACTATCAATCGATCTTTCCGTACTGTAGCTTTATGCTTGAATTTCATTTTAATTATCCACCCCGACTGGCGCCTTTACGATCGCATTTGATTGCAACTGATCGCAGCTGATCGCAGACAATAACTGTGTGTTCTGGTTACGTAGAGGCTTGTGGATAGTTCTCAATAGTTTGAAGAAAAGAAGAAAAAAACAGAACCCTAACGTTTGAGATTCGAGGAAACATAATATGGGGATGTATGAGTAGATTCTGTCATGGGCGGAGATTCCTTTTCGAAAGGTTTACAAACGTGTATAGTCTCATTGCAACAGCATTCATTTGCGATCAGATGCAATCGCGTGAAGAAAAATAGGGTCTAGCGGTAAAAGGCACAACAATTATAATTTTGGTGTAGAAAGCCCGGTCGACAAAGCCTATTCAAATTTTACAAGCAGGTAGATGAAACACAAATTATGTTCTTTGTAACATTTATAGTGCTAAAGGGTACTTTGAAAATCAATCGACGGATCATTCTCATGGCTCCTCTTTGAAAAGCGTAACGGAAGAATGTACTCTCACCGTAGCAGGTGTTCGGGGTCAAGTTAAACATTTTATGCGTCCTCAAAAGATTCCCTTTTTTTTCAAACACAATTCTTGTCGTTAAGCAATATCCCTATTTCTGTGAGAGCATTCGCACTCAAGCAGACTATGAATCTTTATTTTGTTATGTCTCTCCAATGTATATAATAGTTTAAATAAAACGACTATCAATCGATCTTTCCGTACTGTAGCTTTATGCTTGAATTTCATTTTAATTATCCACCCCGACTGGCGCCTTTATATTAAGAGCACACTGTTCAGCTATCGCATCCAAAACAGTTTAATCCGGCCCATCAAAGATTAAAAAATTATAAACGTGGATGGGAGAGAGATGCGGAGAGATGCGGAAAGCTTAAAAATCTTCTATACGAGGAACAGAGCGCATACGATCCCATTTGATTGCAACTGATCGCAGACAATAACTGTGTGTTCTGGTTACGTAGAGGCTTGTGGATAGTTCTCAATAGTTTGAAGAAAAGAAAGAAAAAAACAGAACCCTAACGTTTGAGATTCGAGGAAACATAATTACGGGGATGTATGAGTAGATTCTGTCATGGGCGGAGATTCCTTTTCGAAAGGTTTACAAACGTGTATAGTCTCATTGCAACAGCATTCATTTTGCGATCAGATGCAATCGCGTGAAGAAAAAAGGGTCCAGCGGTAAAAGGCACAACAATTATAATTTTGGTGTAGAAAGCCCGGTCGACAAAGCCTATTCAAATTTTACAAGCAGGTAGATGAAACACAAATTATGTTCTTTGTAAACTTTATAGTGCTATGGGGTACTAT